TCCTGAGGGATCTCCTCCCAGACCTGGACTAAAGCATCCGCCAACTCCTGGACAGTCAGTGGAGCAACGTGGCGTTGGTGGATGGAGCGAGACATGATGTCCCAGATGTGCTCCGTTGGATTCAGGTCTGGGGAACGGGCGGGCCGGTCCATAGGATCAATGCCTTCCTCTCGCAGGAACTGCTGACACACTCCAGCCACATGAGGTCTAGCATTGTGTTGCATTAGGAGGAACCAGGGCCAACCGCACCAGCATATGGTCTCACAAGGGGTCTGAGGATCTCATCTCGGTACCTAATGGCAGTCAGGCTACCTCTGGCGAGCACATGGAGGGCTGTGCGGCCCCCTCATGCTGGAGGATGTTGCAGGCAGCAGAACGTTCTCCACGGCGTCTCCAGACTCTGTCACGTCTGTCACACGTGCTCAGTGTGAACCTGCTTTCATCTGTGAAGAGCACAGTGGCGAATTTGCCAATCTTGGTGTTCTCTGGCAAATGCCAAACGTCCTGCACGGTGTTGGGCTGTAAGCACAACCCCACCTGTGGACGTCGGGCCCTCATACCACCATCATGGAGTCTGTTTCTGACCGTTTGAGCAGACACATGCACATCTGTGGCCTGCTGGAGGTCATTTTGCAGGGCTCTGGCAGTGCTGCTCCTGCTCCTCAAAGGCGGAGGTAGCGGTCCTGCTGCTGGGTTGTTGCCCTCCTACGGCCTCCTCCACGTCTCCTGATGTACTGGCCTGTCTCCTGGTAGCGCCTCCATGCTCTGGACACTACGCTGACAGACACAGCAAACCTTCTTGCCACAGCTGCATTGATGTGCCATCCTGGATGAGCTGCACTACCTGAGCCACTTGTGTGGGTTGTAGACTCCGTCTCATGCTACACTAGAGTGAAAGCACCGCCAGCATTCAAAAGTGACCAAAACATCAGCCAGGAAGCACAGGAACTGAGAAGTGGTCTGTGGTCACCACCTGCAGAACCACTGCTTTATTGGGGGTGTCTTGCTAATTGCCTTAATTTCCACCTGTTGTCTTTTCCATTTGCACAACAGCATGTGAAATTGATTGTCAATCAGTGTTGCTTCCTAATTTCACAGGAGTGTGACTGACTTGGAGTTACATTGTGTTGTTTAAGTGTTCCCTTTATTTTTTTGAGCAGTGTATATCTGAGCACTGCTTTAGTCAGTGTGAAGCTTCTCATTTATTCATTTACTTTTATCCAAAGCGACTTAAAACTACTAAGGATGTCAGAGGTCGCACGCCTGTGGAGCAACTAGGAATAGAATAGAATAGTCTTTATTGTCATTGCACTGTGAAGGTACAACGAAATTTAGGGTGCTCCAACTAGGGGTTAAGTGTCTTGCTCAAGGACACATTGGTGGACATGTCACAGTGGGGAACTTAACCAAAGATCTCTCACACCAGAGGCATGTGTCTTATCCACTGCGCCATCACCACCCAGCTTCTCATGTTTAGAAAATAAGAATATGTAAGAATGACACGGTAATTTACTTTGCATTTTTTCATGCCTGAACAAAATTCCCTACCCTTCAACTGAAAACACATTAAATAACACATTCAAAGAATATACAATACACCAGTTACAAAAATGTAACATGTGACTGAGTAAATAATGCCTATTTCCAGGAAGTCATGTTGATTCACAAACTGTGTGAGTTTCTTTTAAAACACCAGATGTCAGCAGAGTTACTCTGCAGCCAGCAGGATGACAGAGTGAACGTCCCTATTCTTAAAATCCAGTAACGTCCAGCATGTTCATCTTTAGAGATGGGACCCCCGATATGAGAAAAGGGCCTTTGGACTGATTCAAGCATTTAATAAAAAAACTCTTCTGGATCTTTATCACTTCAATTTAAAACTGGTTAAAACAAAAAACAGGACTCTCAGTGACCATTAAACTTCAGATATGAACCACAGTTTTGATCACTTGTTCAAAGACTCTGCAACTCCAAGAACAGAAGTTTGATCTAAACTTCTACAAAATGTTTTTGTCCATTTTAAAATGAGAATCTTCATAACACAGATATTTACAGATAATCTCCATTGAGGAACTTTACATCCTTCTCTCTAATGAATCTGTGTCTTAGTGATCTCAGATCAGCCCACCTTCATGTTAAGCCTGCAGCGCTGTCACTTCCTGCATGTGATTAAACTCTCTGTGTAGGGCCCCGTGTCTCCTGATAAGCTCTAGTGTGAAGAAGACAAACCACATGACCAATTTTATAAATGAAGGAGAGAAACCGTCACTACCCTCCCCTTCAAAGAGGAAGGAAGAGAGTTTAACTGGACGGACTGAGTGGTGGTGCAATGGAACAGACATCTTTTCTGCTCTGTAAGTACAATCTGCCAAAACTGAAATAACTGTAAACTGTTATTATTCACCCGTTAGAATTGATTGATCACCACAGGGGAAAGTAGCAAAAACTAGAAACTCACTAATGTGGTGATCAAACAGTTATTCATTGTTCAGCAATTTGAATAGTTTTTGCATCATTTTAGAATTTACCTGAAAAGAGGAAAAAAATTGACAATAAATAAAAAGTCTATGGACACCGCAGCAGGTGCAGCAACCATTATGAGGCTACTGAAATGAAATGACGTGCTACGTCTCAAAGAGCTAAAGCAGAACAGAGCATCACCAAAGTGGACATCACAGAGTCTGCGATATATTTAATGTGTTTTTCTTCCTTTATTCAATCTGAAACAGACGTCTTTAATAGTTACTTTATTAATTAAGTAGAATTCATGATTATTTAAATTTTTGTTTCACTAAAGTGTTTCAGAAAAGTTCTTATGTATAATACTATTGAGACATTTAATATCCACAAACACGCCGTACATTAATTAAGGGTTTAGGGAAGATATTGCTGTATTTTTGGAGCAGTAAAACTCAAAGTTTCCCAGTTCTCTGTCTGGTCTGGTTTTATGTTAAATCTCTGGTTTCTCTTCAGTGCTGATCTCTCTGCTGAGCTGCAGGACCAGCGGAGGTGAGTGAACTCTGACAGTCAAAAGCTGTTCGCATAACGCTTTCTGGTTAAAACTAATTCTGTAAAGTGTTTGGACACAAACACAAAAGAGAGATGTTTTAACACTAACTAACAAATTACCAAGATTATTTACAACCACTACACAAAAACAGACTTGAAGCTACCAAAAAGAAAGAAAGTCTCTAAAAACAAGGACAAGTTGACCAGGATACAAGTTCAATCAGATTTGATCCACAATCCATAATTCAAATGCACAAAAGTCTTGGAAACTGTAATTGGTTCATAGTGTAAATTTTGAAGGATGAATTTTGTCACTTCATGTATGTTAAAGTAAAAATCCAAGAATCCAACTTTCATTATGCGTAAAAATTTTCAAAAGTGAAAAAAATCAAAGACTTAACCACCAAAACTGTGTGAGACATAACTGTGGGAAGTCAGGTGCTGAGGGCCAAAAAAGCTTCATGTGTTGGAGCACCAGTGCACAGAAAGCAGTGATACATTTATAATCAAAAAGATTAAAGACTACTAACTATTACACCTCTGTGATAAAAACACGCTTTTAGAGTCAACTCATTTTCCAGCATGTAGGGCTGCCTACATGGCTGCATCCCATTTTCTTGACTGGAAGGGCACCTTAAATAAATTAAAAAATACACGGCATGCATGAATCAGTTTAACAAAATAAAATGTCACAGAAAATGTTTTGTGAATCTTTCTTCAAATGCAGTTGCAAACTTTTATTCATCAATCAATCATTATAAATTCCTCCCTGAATTCTGTCCTGCAATATATTGAAATAAATGATAAATTGATGATATTTCCTTTATTGTTTTTGATGATTAACAAATGCTTGAATAACTAACTTCTTTGGGCTGGTTGGAAATAATAATAAAAAAGACTGGTCTGTTTCCCCCAGCTAATTACTTCAAACCAACTGTGCTGTTGATGTCCGAGCCATGGGGGGAAAGTACTGTTGCCCAGTGTGTTAGTAACCACATTGTGCTGATTAGTTTAGCATTTCCTGTCGTTCCCAAACAAGTGTCAAGCTTTCACTGTGAGACATCTGGTCATTTAGCTAAAAATGTAACTCATCCCCTCCAGCCTCTCTGACTGTGAGTCCCAGCAGCTCTCAGCTGTTTGAAGGAGAGTCTGTCTCTCTGAGCTGTGAGGAGGACGACAGCTCTGCTGGATGGACGCTGAGGAGGAACACAACCAGAAGAACCAGGACTCAGTGTGGAGCTGGCTGGGGAAGATCAGCTGGTTCTTCCTGTAACATCAGCTACATCGCCCCATGGGACAGTGGAGTTTACTGGTGTGAGTCCAGAGAGGGAGCAACCAGTAACACCATCAGCATCACTGTCACTGGTAAGATCAGACTGTGGAGTTAGTGTTGATGAAGCTGTGTGTAAATGATGAAATGCTGTAGTTTGTCTCTGTGTTGAGGTGGACCAGTGATCCTGCAGAGTCCTGTCCTCCCTGTGATGGAGGGACATGATGTCACTCTGCACTGTAAAACAAAGACCCCTCCCTCCAACCTCCCAGCTGGTTTCTATAAAGATGGTCCCTCATCAGGACTGAGCCTACAGGTCACATGACCATCCACCATGTTACAAGTCTGATGAAGGCCTCTACAAGTGTAACATCAGAGGTCGTGGAGAGTCTCCATCCAGCTGGATCTCTGTCACAGGTGAGGAGCTCAAAGATAATTCTCAAACTGACCTTGTTTTGTTTTCTACATTGAGTTCAGCAGGTTTCAGGACAGCAGAGATGATTCATGATGTGACAACATTTCTAACTTTGCAATCTGCAAAGAAACAAGAGTGAAATCTGTCAGAGTTCAACCCACCGTTTGATACATGATCTTTTTAACTCTAAACCAGACTGACATTATGAATTCACTGCTGTGTCTTTCTTTTAGCATGCTGTTCAATAAATTATCCATTTATTTTATTTTCTGTGCTTTAATTATAATTATTGTTCAATTTAGTGAAACCCACCACTACAATTCCTCCTTCAACCACCTCTCCTCCTGGTTCCTCCTCTACTTCTCCCTCTGTATTGTGGTTGGCCGCTCTATCTTTCTGTGTTCTGGTTTCTGGTTCTTCTGGTTCTACTGGTGAGACGATGCCTCCACAGGAAACCTAAAGGTTAGACACAGATGTTTCTATTAACACTTTGACGTACAAATAATAACAAGTTACAAACTGTTTCTTTAAGTCAGACGTCCATCAGGATTCTCATAAATCACATTGCTGTTGTTAATAAAACAATCTCACCACAGGGTCCATTTAGTGAGCTGTGGAGCTTTTGATCGAATCACATGATCTTCATTGATTTAAATTTCTGCTCATTTTGGTTCATTCAGCCGCTGAAGAAGAAGCTGGGGATGATGACATCACAGACCTACAGCAGCCAATCAGACGCAGCAAAGGTAACAATGTTTTATTGATTCTGGTTTTCAGGGACAGTGATGTGCGTTCTTATTCTTATGTGTGAGGACCAAGTTGAATTTTAGACCTTGTGAGGACATTTTTCTGAAATGAGGAGATGATATAAATGTTCATCAAAAAAAATCAAATGTAAATCAATGTTTTTTAGCCCATAAAGGTTTCAGACTGCGTTGTTCTCTGTTTAGGTTAATGATAATGTTGGTTTTGTGCCCTGCGATGAATCTGCTGACAGAAGCTAACAGCTCTGTGGTCGTCCAGTTTACTGCTTTCTTTAAAAACACTTGAATGATGACACACGAATTATAAATGTGCAGATTTACAGATCTCACATACAATTGATTAACAGTTTTACTGTTGGGTCTCACTCAAACATTATTGATCGGCTTGTTTAAATGTAAATTATAGGTTTATTAAGTGCTTAAATTATTTTAAATTAAAGAGAAGATGGACCCAGCAGACCAAAGACACTTGGTTGTGCTCTGCATCTAAACCACAGCAGCAACTTCCTCCTGTTGACTCCAGTGAGCTGAGGTCTGACGCTGGTGTCGTTTCTCACTATAGTGTGATCTGTTTAAGCTGATGGTGATGTGTTTGTCTATTTTTGTGCTGAAATGTGTGAACTTTTTGTTGTCTAGTTCCCTGTTTCAGATAAATACCCTCCAGTTATATTTGGTCTTTCACCTTTCACAGTAGTAAGAAGAAGAAAACTGTCAAACCTGCTGCCTTTTACAGAGTCTATAACACAACTCATTATATTATATTCTACATGAAGAATAATGAAATTATTAGTACAGCAGTAGTATTATTACATGTGTTGCAGGTAGCGCCAACACTAGCAGTTAATATACCAGCAGCAGCAGTAAAAATACTAACAGCACTTGTAACAGCTGTTACTGAAACGTCACTACAAACGGCTGAGTGCAGGGGAGGTGTGCAGTGAGCTGAAATGAGGCAGACTTACGGGCAATTTCAGTACATTAATTTCCCGAATCACGGCAACCACATTCCTCTTCGACAGAGAGGAAAGACATTATGGTGGTGAATAAGAAGGAAAAGTGGCCTACTCATGATCACACCATGTCCTGAAAACAGGCCAGCTACAGCGCAGTTTAACACCCACATGCACAAGCACACAATTAAACAGGTAGTCCTACTCAGCGGTGACCTGTCCCCGAACTGATATCAGCCTTTAAAACAGCGGCAAGCCAAAACAATGTCATTTGCGACCCTCTCCTCCTGTTCTTTTCTCTCCTGTCTCCTCTTGAAACTACTTTTATGTGTGAATAGCATCACTTCTAGCTTGCATGTGTGCTCTGCTAGTCTACTGGTCAGATTTTGTGTTTCACCTGATTTCTGGAGTCTTGTCACAAGAGCATATAGAAACTTAAGATTGGGCAGCCACATACATATTACCCAGCAATCATCACTGCATATGTGGGCCAAAGACAATAAGACTAAATTCATTCTGTTGAATCTGTGGAATCTATTTCTTTTATTTTCACCGTGTACCTTATAAAGCCTACTGCTTGCTATAGACGTCTGTGTGTAAAACTACTGATTGCAGTCAGCAGTTTTACACACACATACGTCTGTGGTGTCAGACACAACTGCAAAAGGGGAAATGCTCACATGAATGTATATATAGCACTTGATCATCTTAGATATAATACATTAAGGTGAAATGTGTGTGATGAATGAATGAAATTTGATGCATTTTTTCCATGTAAGTGACAAAGACCAGCTCGTAACTTGGCGGGGCCGCTCCTGTAAAGGACCCTAGTGCAGCGGCACCGTCTACACCTATGCCCCTGACCAAAACAGTAATATAGTAGTGAAGTAAAGTAATATAGGAACATATTGAGTAACGTAACTGGCTACTTTTATCACTGAGTAATAAGTAAAGTAATGTTATTGCTTTTTTGAGTAGTAATGAGTAACTAGTAACTTCTTACAGGTTTTGAGTAACTTCTCAACAGTGGTGCCGCCACAGGGTGATACATTTTACCATGTGGAATAAGGACTAAACTGAGCATGTGCAGAGTGAATCAAGCGATTCATAACTTGTTCCTGATCTCTGGTCTCCCCAACCTGAAGTAATGTAATGTTTATCTGTTTTATTTTCCAGAGTGTTTTTCCGTTGCAGTCTACTCAGCAGTGAGAGGAACTGGTGACGTCAGTTATGAACAAATAGGCGACTGACCACACAGGACGAGAGCTGCTCTTTCTTTATGAACTTTGGACAGAGCTAGGCTAGCTGTTTCCCCCTGCTTCCAGTCTTTATGCTAAGCTAAGCTAAGCACAACCTGACTCCAGATCAATCTTTCCAAAACACTGAACTGTTCCTTTAAAGAGATGTTGATAATTGGAAGGTCAGACGTACTAAACATGAGGATCTCTAAACCCTTCATGTATCTCATGTAATGCAGGGGATTTGTGTTGAAGGGTTATTTCTTTTGTTTATCTGCAAGAGTCCAGGAACAGAGTTTAGCGTGTGGAAAATACGGGGGCTTATTGGGACAGGGAGTCCCAGAGGTTTATGCAATCTGTTACTGAATGATTGATTGTTCTGTGTTTGGTATTCAACTCATCTGAGAACATTTTAGGTCATCTGCTCAGTCTGTCTCTAATAACTAGCATTTATTATTGTCTATCTAAAACTAATCTAATATTCTTTCCAGCATTTAATACTTCTAAGAATTGAGTTACTTTTAACAGTCGGAGTATTTTCTCATATTCATTTTAATTATCACTCCTGGCATCAAACATTTATTATGTAACAAATTTCTTATGATATTGTTTGTTATATTTTAATGTTTTGTGTCTTATGGCTTTTATGCGTTCAATAAACATTTGTAAAATAAAGTCTAGAGTAATTTTTTATTCTTGTATTTGCACAAGTAAAAGTGTCACCATAATCTGAAAGTTACAAAGGTCATATTGTTATTAAAGGAAGCGGATTCCAGCCTTTTCACTAATTGCCGACCAATTTCTATTTTACCTGCTTTTCTAAAGTTTTAGAAAAGTTCTGCAAGAACACCTGAATGATAACAATATCCTGTATGAACACCAATGTGGATTTTGACAAAAACACCCAACATGCATGGCTCTGTTACAACTTATAAACAACAAATCAACAGCATTGGACAGTAATATATTTGCAATTGGTAAATTTTTAGAGTTATCGAAGGCTTTTGATACAGTCCGTGATAAATTTCTGATTTCCAAACTTGACCCTTTTCTGGATGTTTTTATCAATTGGCTTAGGCTGCATTTCCACCAAGGAACTTTAACCCCAGAACTAGGAACCTTTGGAGGAACTCACTGTGTTTCCACCGAAGAGACGAGGGTCTAAATTAAGTTCCAGGGTCTTTATTTTACCCCTAAAAGAGTCTCTGCTCGGGGTGTAGTACTTTCCCAAAGTAAAGGAAGTTTGGCCAGTGGGGCTTGCCTTGCAGTGCATTTCTGAATGCTCGAGTTAAGGCTACCGTCATCATTTCGGCTGTTTTGAATCTCCTTTACTGCTGCTGCTCGTCTCTTTTCCATCGCTGACTGTGCAGTTAGTCCTGCGGTGTGTCAGCTGATCGAGTTAAGATGAATAAAAAGCCTGGAGTTATTATTTTAAGGTTTCACAAGGCGTCGTCCTTGTGACTTAAATAAGAAAAATAGGCAACAAAAGTCTGTCTGGTCAGTTCCTGTCTGCTCAGTGTGGGACTGACAGTTAGTTATCTGAACTTTCTAAAGATTGAAACCAACCACTGACAACTTTACTTTAATGTTGGTGTTAGTTGGGTGCTGTCTGGGCAGCGTGCAAGCAGCTTTATACAGCAGTGAACCACAAACAAAGACTGTAGAGGTCTGGACTAGTGAGAGCATAGAGTCCCTTAAAGGATGTGTTCTTTCTACTGAATGGAGCATCTTCCATGAAGTATATGTGGAAAATGTTACTGAGACTGTTACGGATTACATACAATGTTATAGCTCAGAAAGAAATAACTGTATATCCGAACAATAAACCGTTCATAACTAGGGATGTTAAAGACTGTATCAACGGCAAGACATTTAAGAACCAGGTTTGACTGAAAATTGTGACAATAGAGCTTAATAACTTGGTCAGGGAAGCCAGGAGGAGACATAAATTATTAATTGAACAAAGGTTTACAGAAATTAATGTAAAATAAACTATGGGACACTGTGAAGGTAAAAACTAATACGAACCAGCTCAAAGATGGAGGTCAGATCACTTTTTAAAGGCTGATGTACCAAGAAAGCCACAGGGCCTGATGGATTATCTGCATTCCTCCTGAAGACATGAGCAGAGGAGCAGACAGCTGCACAGAGCCCCATCTTTGAAAACTCAGCAGACTCACACACCATCCCCACCTTGTGGAAGAAATCAGTAATTACACCTGTAACTAAAAAACCTTACCCAAAGGTGAATAATGATTTCAGGCCTGTGGCTCTGACCTCTGTTGTCATGAAATGTCTTGAGAGGATAATGGTGTCGTTTCTTAAGCAAGATGTTGGTGAGCTTTCAGATCCCTTTCAGTTTGTTTGTAAGCAGAGACGTGGCACAGATGACAGCATTAACAGCATTTCACACTGGTCAGTAAACACCTTGAAGAGGCTCAGAGGGCATTTTGTTTGTTGATTTTAGCTTTCAGCTTTTAACACTCTGCAGCCTCACATGCTCATCCAGAAACTGAAACATGTTGACTCTTTTAGTCTCAACTGGTATTTTAGTTTTTTAACAAACTGTACTCAACAGGTCAGAGTAAACAATGCTCTCTCTGAGCCAGGGTCAGCTCTCCAGTACCTTTTACACTTTACACTAATGACTGCACTAGACTCCACTCTGACAATTACATGATCAAGTTCTCAGATGATACAGCAATCCTCGGCCTTATGCACGAGGACAGAAGCTTATCATACAGAAATTTAGGGATGTGTCCAGTGGTGTGACGACAACTATCTGTGTGCTAAATGTGGCAAATACTGAGGAGATGGTGTTTGACCCAAAGGCTGTAGTCATCAAAAACTTACCCATCACTCAGGTTTACATACTGACAATGCACTCAGCTGGAAGGCTCACCTTCATAGTCTCTGCTCCAGACTTCAACAGAGGACTCATTTTCTACGTAGACTTAGTGTTTTGAGTCAAACAATAATTTTGTTTCTGTTTTATCATGCAATGTTAGAGAGTATTCTAAGATACGATATAACAGCCTGGCATGGTAACCTGACACAGTACAGTCCAAATCCCAGGTCGCCTGTCAGGATCAGACAGCTATGAAGATTACGGGGGTCAAAAACATTCATTTGAACCAGTAGAAACACTCATTTGTGCCGACGTCTATTAAGCTTATAGACACTAGCATGTAACGTAGATGTTGGTCATAAAGGTTGGACAATATGTCAGATGTGCAGTGCAGGCTGTATGCGTTGTGCCACTAAGTGCAGCCACCGTGAGAAGGTGTGAATGTGTATATTCATTCATATAGGACCTGTCTCATGTAAAGGAGAGCATGTGTTGTGTAGCATGAGACTTTGTGTTGAGAGATTTCTATTTTATTGTTATTTTTGTGTTGTATTTGAGGAGCTGCAGAACGGAGGGCAAAACAAGTTTCCCTTTGGGGTCAATAAAGTTTAACTTGTGTTTGTCCAATCAGGAGCAATCAGCTATGTAAACAGGACTCAGAAGTTGTTTGTGATCTTAAATTAACTTTTTTCATGTGAGTCACTGAACTCTGTTTTCCAGGAATCCTCCAAAACGTCACACAGACTTGTGAACCAATGCTGCGTTCTTGACCGCTCTGAACTCGGAAATTTTTCCAAGTTGAAATATCTGACTTTTGACCTCAAAGCGCTCCAGGTGCATGATGGTGCATGACACCGAAAGTAAAACAAAAACCATGGCTGACTGTGACAAACTCATGTTTCTTAGTCAAGTATAGTTAAAACTAAACTACTGTTCAAAACAGCGAGGTGTCGTGGAGGGTGAAAACACACTTCAGGTGCATCTTATAAGAAGCACTTTAAGTCCAGAACCATTTTTGTCCCCAGTGTTTCTGCAGTGATTTAGCTCATTGGGATCCTAATCCAAAAAAGGTTTTTTTGGATCCCCCTTATTAATTCTGCACATGTCGCAGTTGGCGTTGGCCTGGAAGGGGCCGTCTTGTAGGAGGAGGACAACCAGCTACTTGCTGAGCGTGAAGGTGGTGACAGTCTGACTGGAGCTACATGGCGTGCGGCGTTGGTGTCAACATTTCAGGAGGCACCTGTAGACCACTACTACTTTGCTCAGGTGAATTCTGTGAGGGGAGTGTGGCTGAGGAGCAGCTGCTGGTTGAATCTAAGCTGACCTGACCTCCAACTACACAACTGAAGCGTATTTCTAACTCCTAGTTTGTTATCCTGAACACAGTTAAAACTCACCAGCTCTATCCCCAGGATACAAACTTTTCTTAACAAACCTGCAGGTGCAGTTGTCTGAAATGGTCACTAGGGGTCAGGCTAGGACCGCAATGGTTAAAATACATCAGCACTGCATATTTTCATAAAGTTAACATTAAATTTTCTTGTGTAATTATATTTTCTGAAACAGTCTTCATCAAGTTAAAAAAAAACCCTGGAAGAACCGAGAACTTTCTCCTTCTGTCTGCAGACCGGAAACATCAGCAGGACTGAGTTTATGTTACAATAACTGCTCCACGTTCATATCTTTTGTCTCTTTTAGTAGCTTGTTAGCCGTCACTCTTTCACACTTTAAATAAAACCATTGATTACTAACCGTTATTGTCTTTCCTTCACTCACAGTAACATCTCACTGCAGCTTGTGTTGCATGTTGAACTTTAGGGTTTGTTTTTATTTACTGCAGGGGCCTGCACCACGAAGCGAGTTCAACCAGGTTCAACACACCCAGGATAGTTTTTCATTATATGGCTTCACTAATCTTAATAATTACGATCTAGAAAAGCGGTCCCACAAAGCTGGTTATCAACTCTAAGGTCGTGATAAATAGAATATACAGTGGGGGAAAAAAAGTATTTGACCGCTTGCTGATTTTGCAGGTTTGCCCACTTACAAAGAATGCAACAATCTATAATTTTAATCATATGTAGATTCTAACAGTGAAAGACAGAATCCCAAAGAAAATTCCAGAAAATCACATCATATGAATTTATTAAAATTGATAACCATCTGATGAGGAAAAACAAGTATTTGACCCCCTGGACAAACAGCATGTTAATATTTTGTAGAAAAGCCATTATTGGCCAGCACAGATGTCAAACGGTTTTTATAGTTGGTGACAAGGTTTGTGCACATTTCGGCAGGGATGTTGGCCCACTCCTCCCTGCAGACAGCCTCCAAATCATTCAGGTTCCGAGGTTGTCGCCTGGCAACTCGAATTTTAAGCTCCCTTCAAAGATTTTCAATTGGATTCAGGTCTGGAGACTGGCTAGGCCACTCCAGAACCTTGATGTGCTTCTTCAGCCACTCTTTTGT